TATATATATATGTATATGTATATTTAAATGTTTTTAGAGCAGTTTAAATTTTACAGAAGCACTGTGCAGAAATGCAGAGTTCCCATACAGCCTTCTGGCTGGAGTACTTTTTCTCCTATTGTTAGTGTCTTGCATTTTATGTGGAGCATTTGTTACAATGCACGAGTCAATACTGACACATGATTATTAACTATGGTCCATAATTTTGATTAGGGTTCACTCCTTGTGTTGTATAGTTGTATGGGTTTTCACAAATATGTAACATCATATGCCCACAATCAACAGTAAAATGGAGAATAGCTTCACTCACCTTACAATGCTCTGGGTGAAGTGCAATGGTTTCTAATGTTGAGAAGACCAATATACTATTTTTTTCTTTTATTGCATGTGTGTTAAACCATTACCTTCCATACCTTCTTATGTGTTGAGTCCTTTCAAAGTACCCAGGGGATGTAAATGGCCTGTGTTCAACTACTAAGCAAAAGGCTGGTGGTTGGGACCCACCAGGAGGGGCCTGGGAAGAAAGGCTTGTGACCTGCTTGACAAAGATTTAAAAACTCAAACCAAACTCCCTGTCATTGAGTTCATTCTGACTCACAGCAACACCTACCGGGTTTCCCTGCTTCTTTAGCAAAGCAGACTGCCTCATCTTTCTTCTGTGAAGTGGCTGATGAGCTCAAAGCACCATTTGGTTAGCAGCCAGATGCCTTAACCACTGCACCACCAGAGCTCCTTCTAACAAAGATTACAGCCAGACAACCCTATGGAGCACATGGGATCGTTATGAGTCAGAACCCACCCGACAGCAACAGGTTTGGTTTGGTTTGTTTCCCCTTCAGGGCCAGAGCTTCATCTGTCTCTGTGTTTGACAAGTAGCCCAGAACCCATCCAAACCACCCTGAGCTGTGGGCCTGTTCTGGTTGGTTAATTCCGGATCTGAGTCCTTTGTCTTTAAAGCGTGGACTCTGGGGCTCCCTGCCTGCATTCCAAGCCATGCTTCCCAACTTACTAGCTAAATGAGCTTGCCTCAATAACTTAAACCTTTATAAGGTTTACTTCCTTCATTTTTTTTCTTAACTTTTATTATTATTATTATTTAAAGTCCCTTCACTCATATCAAACTTTTCTCTTAATTATCCATTTTCCCTCCCTTCTCCTCCTCTCCCATCACTGGTAAACCATCAAAGAAAATTTCCTTCCTTGCGTAAACATTTCCTCATTTTTAAAACACTAACACCACAGACATACCTCATGTAAATGACTTAGCCCAGTGCCTGGTAGATTATAAACGTTCAGTTAATACTTGTTGCTCCTGCAGTGCTATGGATCATGGTTGTTTCTTATCATGGCAAAGTCCAAATCTGTTTTCTGCTTCTGGAAGTTTGGCTTGTCTCTGTCTTGTCTTTGGTGTTTAGCAGTGAGTGCAGTCCATGACCGTCCAATCACATGATACCCTGCTTTGTCTCTTTCCCTTTGTGCCTTGTGTAGCAATGCCTCCTCACTCCCTAACAGCCCATGACCCTCGTCCCCCCAAGTCTAGCTCTTCATACAGACTCTGCCTTGCAACTACTTGTCTTACATGGCGCACTTCTCCAATGGTTGCTCCAAAGCACTCTAACCTTTAACACTTCTCCCAGTGGCCTTCACTTCTCCACCTGCTGCAGGTATAGTCCCTGTTCTTTCTGTGACCTGGGCTCATTTTCAGTGAGTACACTGAAGGTCTTCACCATGCATTCCTACCCATTCCCTCGCCTCCTTGAAGCCTGGGCTCAGATCTTTGCAACAAAGCCCATCCTGGTTACCCATTTAACGCTGCCACCAGCCACCCCACCAACCATGCACTCCTAATCCCCATATCTGCTCTAGGCTTTCTTTTCTCCATAACAATGGGTCATCTCCTACCATTCCACACCATTTACTTATTTGTTTCCTGTTTAGGGATTTTTTAAAACCTGTTAGAATATAAACTCCACATGGCCAAAGACCTTTCATGCTTTTACTCTATGACACATGCCATGTTCCTAAAACACCACATAGTATCTGCTCAGAAATACTTGTTTAATGGTCACGTTTGCATTTCTGTGAGCAGCAGTGAGAGGAATGTCTTTATGTGATATTGGCCGTATGTGTTTCTTCTTGTGTGAACTGCCTGTTCATTCTTTGGTCCTTCTGTCCATGTTTTTCTCTTTTATAGGTTGGGAGGAGCTCTTTGCATTTTTGGACACTAATCCTACGCTGTGGTAGTTCACTGTCAGAACTCTTGCCTTCTACGTAGGAGACCCAGTTCTGTTTCTGGCCAATGCAGCTCATGCGTGGCCACCACCTGTCTGTCACTGGAGGCCTGAGTGTTGCTGTGATGCTGAACAGGCTTCAGCAGAACTTCCAGATGGAGTCAGACTAGGAAGGAAGGACTAGAGATCAACTTCCAAAAATCAGCCAATGAAAACCCTACATGACACAATGGTCCAGTCTACAACCAATCCTGGGCGTGGTGCAGGACCAGGCAGCCTTTCGCTCCATTGTGCACGGGACAGCCATGAGTCAGGGTAAACTTGATGGTAGTTGTCTTGGTTTTCTAGTGTCACTCTATCAGGAATACCACAAGTGGATGGCTTCAACAAACAGGGATTTGTTCTCTTACAGTTTAAGAGGCTAGAAGTCCAAGTTCAAAGTGCCAGCTCTAGAGGCTGGGTAAAGGCCCCTTGACCTTGGGCTTCAGCTCTGCCTCTTGCTCCCAGCCCACTGGAGCTTGAGGATTCTCTTAACTTAGTCAGCTGCTGGCTGCTAAGGCTGCCAAATTCAAGGCGACAAGTAAAATGGCACAGTCCCAAGATTATCAAGCGACACAGCAGACCACTAATTCAAGTCCATCAACAGTCCCAACATTGGCAGACAACGTGGCAGGTCAATGAGATGAAGACTCGGTCAAATGCAGGGTCCAGATGTGCCAAGAAGCTAGAGACCTTCCCCAAAGCTGCTTCTTACGTGCTGGAAACAGACCACATCCCTAAGGCAGCTACTCAGCTATTCACAGTAGATTCCACCATGGATGGTGGCTATTTCCAAAGTTTCTCCTTATATTCGGGAAGCAGACCACATACCCCAAAGCAGCTACTCAGCTGCTTATAGTAGATTCCACCATGAAGTTGATTACCGTCTCATCATGGGGAGTAACTACATACATACACGCCCTGCCTCTCAAAACCAGGCCCAGCCAAGTTGACACACAACCTTAACTACCACAGTAGCTGAGAACAACACTCCTATGTGGTGTGCTTATTTATTCTACTCTATAACCAGTGCCTGGCAGCAGGCATGGCACATACAAGGCACAGAGAATCTAGTGAGTAAATATGGAAAAGCAAAGACGTGAACAGTTAGCAAATATCCTGGGGTTAATATCAGTGTGCATTCGAGTTTGGAAGGAAATAAGAGGAATGTCTTAAAAATTATCGGTGGAATGACAAGGAGACAAGGACGCCACCTCCTTACCCCGGGAGGCATTCCCCGCAGACGGCGTCTCCGGTGGCAGAGCAATTCGCCTTCTGGAAGCGGTTCACCAGGGCACAGTCGAGGCACGGCTTGCATTTCTGGAAGCCCCAGTCCTCCTTGAACCTGTGAGGCCTGCACGTCACGCACTGTGCATCCTCCCCATAGCCAAAGCCGCATTCCTGCAAGATTAGCAGACAAGAGAAAGCATTCAGACATTGCATGGGTGAAGAAGGAACGGCTGCTGCCATAAGGCAAAGCCTTGGTGCAATCATTACTGTCAGCCTTCCTAGAGACAGTGGCAGAACTTTTATCTAGTTCAGCGTTGTCCTCCACCATGGATCGGCTCTCATACTGCTGTAAGCTCACTGAGTCATACACTTTATCCAGGAAGCCCCATCCTGTGACTTAGAAAGGGCCAGGGAGGACTCAGCTGCAGCACTGCCTCTACAGAGAGCAGCAGACTGTCCGCTCTCTTCCAGTCTGATGAAGGCAATCGTGTGAATGTCCAGAATTTAAAGTCAGTGACAATATTCAGATGTGTAGTCACTTGTCAAGGCAGAAAATAGATACTCAGATATTAACAGTCATATCTCAGCAAAGGAGGACAAAAAACTGAAAGCTAAACTCACTGATCCCCACTGGGTTTCTGAGCACTAAATCTTTACGGAAGTAGATTGTCCCACCTTCCTCCTGTGGTGCGGCTGGTGGGTTTGAACCACTACCCTTCTGGTTAGTAATCAAATGCCTTAGGTACCACGCCACCAGAGCTCCTTAAAGGAGGACAAGTGCATGAAAAATGTCACAAGTTTACATGTCCAGGAATCTAAGCAGTTGAAAGTTCCTCAAAATGTTTAGCAATTCAGTATTTTTCAAGAGTAGAATGATTCTTACATATGGTTTAAAAGAAACACTAAATTTGCGTTCAGATAAAAACTCTATTGTAAAGTTGTCAAACTTGTCTAGATTTGGACATCAGAACAAGCATATTACTTTCCAAGGATGGATAAAACAAATGACTCTTGGATCCACCTATGATCTTTTCTGTAATTTCAAGAACTCAAAGTTTTTTGTTGCTGTTATGCACAGAGTGACTCACAGCACTCCTAGAGGACAGAGTGGAACTGCACCATAGGGTTTCCAAGGCTGCAATCTTTACAAAAGCAAAGCCCCAACTAAACCTACTGCCGTACTATCAATTCCCACTCACAGTGCCCCTAGAGGACAGAGTGGAACTACCCCACAGAGTTTCCAAGGCTGTAATTTTTATGGAAGCTGACTGTCACATCTTTCTCCTGTGAAGCAATTGGAGGGTTTGAACTGCCAACCTTTTGGTTAGCAGCCAAGTACTTAACCACTTACCAGGGCTCCTTGAAGAAAGTACAGCACACCATATACATCTTATAATGCAATGATCATGCAACCATAAAAAGGATGATGTTATCTATTGACATAGTTACATGCTCATGGCATTTATAAAATAAGTTATAATATGGAATTATAAGTATGCCTCATTTATTATGAAAACATGAATAATAAGTGTTCTGGTTATCTAGTGCTGCTCTGACAAGAAATATACCACCAATGGGATGGTCTTAACAAACAGGAGTTTATTCTTACAATTTGGAGGCTTTAAGTCCAAGTTCAAAGTGCCAGGCTCTAGGGGCTGGGTTAAAGCCCCTCAACCTTGGGGTCCAGCTCTGCCTCCTGCTCCTGGCCCACTGGAGCTAGAGGTGTTTCTTCACTCAAACAGCTGCTGGCTGCTGAGGCTGAGAAGCCCCAAGGTTTACAAGTAAAAAGGCACAGTCCCGATGTTACCAAACCACACAGCAGGCTGTTAACAAGTTCATTGTAAGTCTCAAGGTCGGCAGAGCATGGCAGGCTGCTGAGCAATGACATGGCTACATGCAGGGTCCAGGCGTGCAATAGGCTAGAGACCATTCCCAAGGCTTCTCCTTAAATACAGGAAGCAGACTACATCCCAAAGGCAGCTACTCAGCTGCTCCCACCATAGAGCTGACTGCCAGTCTCCTCAGGGAATTAACTACCACCAGCTGCTCAGCCACTCAACCAGGCCCAGCCAAGTTGACACACAAACTACCTACCACAATAAGTATGAACATTTACTGAGTGCTTGCTCTATGCCAAGAACTTCGTGCACATTATCTCATTAATCTATATTAATTCCCAAGGAGGGAAGCAGTATCTTTATTCCCATTTCACAGATGGGGGATTGAGCTTCTAAGAAGTTATGCAGCTCCTCCGAGGTTAAAATGCTGAAGTAGCTGCCATCGAATGGACTGCACGTGTATCAGAATAACGTGCTGCAGAGTGCCATCGAGTGCACTCCTATGTCAGAATAGCAGCACGTTCCAGAAGCTTTCAGTGGTTGGTTGTTCTGGATTGAGACCACCAGGCCTTTCGGGTAGCCATTTAACTCCACTGTCGGGCTTCTTAACCACTACACTAGGGTCTCTCAGGTCCCCTGTCTACGAATGACAGAAATATAGAAAAAAGTCCAAAAAATGACATACTTAAATGTTAACACTTTGTGAAGTTTCTATGTGACATGTGCTACGTGGCCATTTCAAAAACATAACAGCAGTTTAAGAGCGGCATGAAGTGCATCTGTGCCAAGAGCACACAGACTAAGCTCGCACCCATGGCACAAACACAGCCGGGGAAGGACAGGCAGGGACACAATTTCGGAGGGGCTCAGCCTGCACATCTGTAAACTACTACGACACCAGGATGCAGACGCCAGCTGGCTCAGAATTCCCATTCTTCTATACGGTGTGTGTATTTTAATTCTTCTTGCCTATTCATATACATGAAGTCAACTCAAACCAAGCCAAACTCACTGCCATTGAGTCAGTTCTGACTCACAGCGACCTCTACTGGGATTCCAAGGCTGTATATCTTTATGGAAGCAGACTGCCTCATCTTTCTCCCACTGAGAAGCTGATGTATTCGTACCTTTTGCTTACCAGACAAATGCCTTACCCACTACACCACCAGAATGCCTTTGAAGTAAAAGAAAAAAAAAAAACAAAACCAAGCCCTCTGCCATGAAGTTGATTTCAATACATGTCATGTCCGTCGGGTTTCCAAGGCTGTAAGTCTTTTCGTAAGCAGACTGCCTTATCTTTCTTCTGCAGAGTGGTGGATGGGTTCAAATCACCAACCTTTTGGTTAGCAGCCAAATGCCTTAATCACACCACCAGAGCTCCTATGAAGTCAACTTGTTGTTGTTGTTGTTGTTGTTAGATGCCGTCAAGTCGGACCCAACTCATAGCGACCCCTCCTTGGGTTTCCGAGGCAGTATCACTACGGAAGTAGATTGCCCCATCTTCCTTCCGAGGAGTGGCTGGTGGGTTTGAACCGCCAGGCTTCTGGTTAGCAGTCAAGTGCCTTAGGCACTATGCTACCAGAGCTCCCATGAAGTCAACTAGGCAGTACTTATTAGCCAAAAGCAACACAAGGGATAGTATGTCCTTGGTTTCAATTGAATATCACTTCCAACTAGAGTCTACTAATTAGCTCATTGGCATTTTGGATGTGTGATGCCCTCTTTGTCCATCTGTCTAGCATCTATCTTGAACATGCCTGAAAAAGAGTTCGGGGGAGAGAAAAAGTGGAGAGTACGTGGCCTTCTGAATCCTGAGGGTCCCAGCTGGTCAGCAGCCTAAGCTAAATGTGCAGACAGGGAGAACAGCTACCACTGATTTCAAAGACTAATTCACAAATTAGAATATCTTTAAAATTGTTAACAAGGATTATCTTGGGGGCACGCGGTGAGGGCTGGTTAGTGAAATCATGAAGGAGTTTCAATTTTTATCTTTCTGAAATGATGTCATTTTTGCAACCACTGTTTATTTCTCTTGGAATTGGTAAAACAGTAGACATATATTAAAAAGCATTTTGTTGGAAAGGTGTCCCATCTCTGCAGGGATGTTCCTGTGACTGTTTGTTGTTGTTAGGTGCCGTCGAGTCATTTTGACTCATAGCGACCCCATGCACAGCAGAATGAAGCACCGCCTGATCCTGCGCCAGCTCCATGATCCTTGCTATACTTGAGCCCATTGTCGCAGCCACCATGTCAATCCATCTCATTGAAGGCCGTCCCCTCCTCCTTCGTCGACCCTCCACCTTACCAAGCATGACATCCTTCTCCAGGGAATGGTTCCTTCTGACAACATGACCAAAGTAGGTGAGATGAAGTCTGGCC